TTCAAACTTACCAGGAGTACACACCTGAACATCAGTCTGACAACGAGCACCTCAGACCCTGAGGGAGTTTAATGACTGACAACACAGGTGAGGTCATCAGTAATGCTGAGAGAGAAGAGGGCAAAACGGCCTAATAAAAAAGCAAAAAAATAAATAAATAAAAAAAACCAAAAGGAAAACAAACTAAACTAAGATGAGTTTAACAGAAAATAACAAAAATCCAACCACAATAACACATTCAACTTAAAAATCATCTTCTCTGTGCTTGAGAGCATCAGACTCTGGGATAATTAAGGTATCTTAGAAATCTTTTTTTATAAAATTTATTCATTTAAAACAAAACAAATCATAAGTTAAATGAAAGGTAGCAGAAGAAGAAAAAATCTTGCGATTTCTGCCCCTTTTTCTCAAACAAACGTTTCAGACAATTTTTAATTAACTCTTTAATATTGTTTCTTTGCTGCTCATTTCTTTACAGCTTAAGTTAAATGTTTAGTGAGGCACACGACTCCACTCTTTAAATTGTGTTTTTTACATTGTATTTTCAAATTCTATTCTACGTATAAACATGTTTTTACTTGTTTTGTGCTCCAACCCACCTGATTCAGTGACTGAAATGCCTCTTGAAGTTCTGCAGAAGCCTGTTAATCATCCATTCATTTAAAGCAGGTGTGTTGGAGCAGAGGAACATGTAAAACATGCAGGACTGTGGCCATCGAGGACCAGGATTGGAAACCCCGGCTCTAAAGGTCAAGATTTTGTTTTGTTGGTTGACTGTGTCCTCAGGCATCCAAATATGTGCTCTCACATGAATAAATGCATTTATTTACTCAAATAATATGATCTGCTTAAGATTTAAAAAAATAATTTACTGGAGTTCAAAGCAGTTCACAATATTTATGTAATATTTATATTTATCAGGGAGGACAAAGCCCACCTCTAAAAYCTTAGTGGTCCCCTAACGGTCCACCCTGACTCGACTGTCTTACCCTTCTGAGTCCCAGTATTTTGTTTTTTGTGCAATTTCAATTTCTATTAGCTATCTGGGATAAGTGATGATATAATGATGATCGTGATCATATAAAAACATTTTTGAACAATTAGTAATTGAAATTAAGATAAATGTTTTATTTAAAAATACAAAAAATGAAAGAGTTACAGTTGTTAGAAATATAAATTTAGAAGAGGAGGAGCTTCAGTAGGTTGAGCTACGTATTTTAGGTGATTCTCAAACTTTTGTGTTTTTGAAGAACCTACAAATGACTACAACAAAACAAAAAAATGTGTGACTTTATTTTTCTGTTTCACTAAATAATAACGTAATAGCAACTCCCACCTGCCCACCTGTTAGGAAAAAAAAGTCAATCAATTTTAAAAGACTATAAAAGAAAATATCAGTAAGAAAAATGAGCTGAAAAAGAGAGGAGGAGAACTCCTGGTTCACCTTTTAGGTTCCAGGAACTCCCTTGGTCTGCTTCCAATGTTTGCCCCCCCACCCTCCCAAACATTCACAAATACCCCCTCAAGTCACCTCCAACCCCTCAGCCCCAAATTCTCTGGCAACTCGTTTAATGACCCCCATCACCCCCTCTTCCACTGACCCCCCCACCTCCCCTCGCCCTTTGGCATCCCATTTAAACTGCTCAGCAAACAACTCCCCTCCTTGCCCACTTTCTTAAGACACCCTATAACCCACCCCCCCTCCACCCCCCATCTACCTTGTAATTACTGCGGCCCTCTAAGTTATTCACCTTTCCTTCAAACCTGTGCATCTTTCTCCGAAGCACAGCTCGCGGCTTTCTCCCCGTCCCCTCTCTCTCTCCGGCGTTCACCGGGATGTAAAATATTCACAGCTGCTGCTGCGGTCAGGTAGCACGGCCACAAGGCTCTCTGAGCAAACAGAGGAGCTGTGAATGTGTGAAGCCAATGGTGTACGTTTCATTTGAGGTCCAACACAGGTCCGATAGATCCTAATGCAGTCAAAACAGAAACCGCATAGCCTCGCCGCATGCCTCAACAAACCAAGCACAACACACACACACACACACACACACACACACACACACACACACACACACACACATGCAAACTGACACAGCAAACAGTTCTGGGTAAGATGTCAGGCGCTTTGCAGAAAAGAACGAAACGATGTACAGCTGAACATCAGATATCACTGATAATCAGTGTGAAACATCTGTCTTGAATAAATGGGCCCGCTTTTGAAGTGCGGCCTTGTAATGGATTACGGGCAAAGGCAAGAGCGCATTAAGTCACATTAAAGTTGCAATAAAAACACAACAAACCAGTCCAAGACCTCAACATGTTGTACTGTAAAAAGAAAATATTCCCATCCAGGTTCTCAGAGTGAACAAAGTGGACAAATTTGTTTCAGATATCTTAACGTTTTTGGTCCAGTTTTCAAAACGCCAAGAAGACCTTAAACGGCATATTTCACATTTCTGGAGTCGGACCACTTTATAATAAAGTCATTTCAGACCAGGAATGCCAGCCCTTGAACTTTACGAGGGAGGGAAAGAGGCGGGAGATCAGTGTCTTGAACACATTTCAAAGTAATTGTACTTGATATGTCGTTTACAGAACACCCAAGTAATCATATAAACAAWGGCCTGGATGCCCTGGGAGGATGAAAGGAAATTTGAATCGCCCTCTGATGCATCATACTTACTCACATTTTGACGTGAGCGTTAGACATCGAGGATTCCTGAGTACAATAAGAGGATGGAAGGCCTTTTCTTTAATAAACACAGTGGGTCGGACGGACACCGGTGGATTCCATCATAAATGTGGAAATCGGCTTGGACAACAGAAACAGATGGCAGAAGGGCTGGTTGTGATGTACGCCACGAACAAATTACAACCTCGAGCTGAGTGTGCGCGTCGACCTGTTTGAGCTGGAATCTGCCTGAACTTTTACAGAAACATCACCAAAAATTAAAGAAGAAAAAAAAAGCTTCAGAAACTGTGAGGAGGAAAAAAAAAAGAAAAAAGAAAGCTGTTGGACCCAGACAGCAACAACACGGAGCTTTAAGAAGAAGCAGAGAGAAGCGAAAGAAAACATGACATCATAGTTAATTAGAATCAGGTGATAAACAAAAGGGGTGATATTTATGTTATACCATATGCCCTGCTCCATGTGTCTCTCTGTCTCGGGGGGCACAGCAACAGGTTTCAGACATGTAGGGTCAAGGAGGAGGCTTTCCCCAGCTGCCGGACCACACTGAGGCACGCAGGACGCTACGCAGCCGCCCCTGCGTGTGCCGGTGTGTGTGGGTGAACAAGTGGGTCGGCCATTTCTAAAAGCTGTTTTGTCTTTGTTGTTATCGCGTAAAGAACTGTGTTTATCTTGTTTGCCATGTGTACTTGTAGCGGAGAAGTCTCTGCAGGGAGACATGGAAACCCCTGAAGGAATCGGAACGGTTGTCCGCTTCTTTCAAAACTCTAATCTTTTACAGATTGTGAACTCAAGCAGGTTTCCAGTTTGATTACTCAACAAGATTATTTTGATGKTTTTATGTCTGAAGTGAAACACCACTCCTGATCTTGACAATAACAATTTGACAGATTAATATGTTATTTTTTGGGTTTATTAGGTTTGAAGCAAAATTTGTCACTGGATCCGTTTGCTCAATCCAGGTATGACTCAGAGATCTGCTCGGAAAGCTCGAGAACTGCTCTTTACAGTGAGTCAAACTCACTTACTCATTTCTTGCACCCACAAAATCCTGTTCAGGGTCGCGGGGAGCTTAGGGGGTTGTGGGGTTGGTCCCGGTTCCTGCGGTAGCTAATGGGTGACACCACGAACAAGAGGCCAGTCCATCAGGGGCAACACAGAGACACAGGAGACCAAAAACATGTCGAAGCATTTTATAATCTTAAATTATGCTGCGATGCATGTTTGGGTGCTGTGACAGGAGAGTGGAAAACCAAGCAAACCACCCACACATCCAGCAATCCTGCACTCCATTTTGTTAAGCTGCTCGTTCAAAAATCTAAGTTAGCAATTTTATTAGCATCACATATTTAATGGCATTCTGTGGGGAGATTAAGAGCAGTAAGCATCTTACCTGTTGTAGATAGCTCTCTGAACAACAGGAGTTTAAAGAAACAGAGCTGATGGGGTTAAGTTTCACAGTTTTCTCTGTTTTATTTAAACCTTTACATCAAAACTTATTTTCTTTTAGATGGTTATTAAATCAAAATTAATTTATAATAAAAACCATGTAGGTATGTTACCAATAACGTTTCAATAACAACACATATTGCTAACATAAATCTAAGTTTACTCATCACAAGTGACTAACTGTTGGAAAAAGAAAACAGTTTACAGATCAGGGAAATCATGTTTGCTCCACTTTTCCACAGAACTTATAAAACCCAGAGCTAATCATTTAATTTAGTAAAACTTTACACCAATAAAAACAAAGTGCATCTAAAGTTTTYAATAGTGAATTTTAAATCTGAATTAAAGTGAGTGGAAAAGGACTTAAATTAAATTCAGTTTTTTATAAATGTGTTATAAATTCACCACCATAGTATTCATTTGATGGTTTTTTTGTTGAGGGTCTTAAATCATCAATATTATCATCCCTGATTTTGCTAAAAACACTCTTTTATATATATATAT